GCGGAGCCCCCCCCGGTGCCACCGGGACTGGACCAGATGCCCCGGTGCCTGGACACCCCGGTACCACCCGGGCCCCGGAGCGGGTCGGGGTCGGTCCCGGTCCCGGTCCCGGTCCCGGTCCCGGTCCCGGTCCCGGTCCCGGTCCCGGTCCCGGTCCCGGTCCCGGTCCCGGTCCCGGTCCCGGTCCCGGTCCCGGTCCCGGTCCCGGTCCCGGTCCCGGTCCCGGTCCCGGTCCCGGTCCCGGTCCCGGTCCCGGTCCCGGTCCCGGTCCCTCCTGGGAGCCGAGGCGGGCGGGGCGCCTCCGCTGTGCGCCTAGGCCGCCTTAGATCCCCGGGAGGGGCTGAGGCAGGAGCCTGCGCGGAGGGAAACGGGGGAAGATGGCGGGGGGGTGGTCTTGAGCTTAAAATTGGAAGGGTTGCGGCCCGCTAAAACATCACCCCTCTGTCGCACGTCTACAAGTTTAAAAGGCGCGGTGACTTTTCTTACTGCTGTGATGGCTCCAGTTGTCACTTGACTTTCTCTATTTGTTACATTTAAAAATTTTGTCTCACAGTTTCAGCTCGGTTTTGCTTGTTTATATCGGTTGTTTACTGAGCAAAGTAGAGGGAGGAAAAATCAAATTGCATTGTAGGCCTCATCTCATGGCACACAAGATGAAGAAGAAAACCTGAAACTCCCTTATTTGACTGGGGTTAAATTTGAAGTTGATAGTGTGTGTCTGAGACCTGCTTACACAGGATCACACAGGGTTTGTTTGCACTGGTAGTCAGGGCAATAACCTATTTTTCTTCTCATGTAAACAAGTGCATTTTCATATGTTATTCTTTACAGTCAGAGTCTTGCTTGGTGTAAACCAGACTTATTTTTGATTTGCGTGTCACTCCTATGATACCCTTGTAGCATAGAAGATTACAAGGCTTGCCCTGTACCAGCTGGCATGCTTGAGTTTTTCTTACTAGGATCTTTGTGAACAGTTGGTTTGAGGTTGCTGGAACACTCCTTGCACGTTTTTCCGCTGAGGTAGAAGGAACAGTGTATTCACATTGTTAATTATAAGGGACAGTTTGTTCACTTGTTCTTTGAGTTACTGACCATTTTAGTCCTTCCTGTTTCTGAAATGAGCAATTGACTTTATGGTTGGTGGTGATCAACACAGTGCCAGATGGAGGCTGGTGAGACAGACAGCAGCTACTGAACAAAAGTTCTGCCTAGGACTGTTCCATTGTCAAATGAATCAGCTGTTAACACATCTGTGTTTTAGGTTGTGATCCCTTGAAAACTAAATGTGAGAGCGTTGTGAAGAGGGCCTTGTTACAGTATCAGGGCCTTGGTGTGCAACTACCTTTCAACTACTCTTTTTTTTCTTTTTTTCCCCCTTAATGTTTTTAAACAGGTTATGTGTAGAAGAGAGGAAGTTTCTACTGTGTACTTCTATGGTGTCCAGCTCATCTATTGATACTTCCTTTGTGACTCCATGCTAAAAGAGCTTCTGAGAGTATCAGTTTGGTTACCACATCATCTGGATCCAGAGGTCACTTTTAAGAAAATGTGGACTGCTAGAAGCCTTTGTGGTGCTCAAATACTGTTGCTACAGCTGAAAGAAGGCAGATTGTGTGCTTGCATGTTTCCAAAAACTCATCAGTTCTGGATTGGAATTCTAAACTATTGCACCATAAGAGCGCCATGTAACAGACTTAAATTCCAGGTAAGTATTTTTGTGATGCTCTGGGTATAAGTGATATGCATCAATACAGTGGTAATATCACTTCTTTTAGAATCTACAGAGCTAAACTTTTGATCTTGCAGGCTTATTTATGAATTGAAGATGCCTATCAAGGTAAAGGGGCAGGCAGCAAGAAGTTGCAGGAGAACCAGTGTTTCAGAATGAATTCTTTGTGTATGATAGTTCTAAGCTGGGGAGAAACATTATTTTTTTTTCAAATTATACTTTAGACAATACTGCATGATAACTGACAGGCTTATTAGTTAGAGTGACAGCCATTTAGTGAAGAATAGGACCCGAGTTCTCTGGAAAACTTTTCACTAATGCAATTTTTCACAAAAAATGGGAAAAAGTCAATTTCTAGTGGATCGGTAAGGGAGGATGAAACATAAGAGTCTGATTGTAAAAAAAAAAAAAAAATAAAAAAAAAATCTGTGGATATAAACAAAAATAGTGGGAAGGGACACAAAATTAAGGCTAATCTGGGACACTGGCAGTTCCAAATGGCAAAGTTTTTCTAGATGTCCAATTAAGTTCATCTTTAAAATATAAATTTCTGCCTGCACTTTATAAATACTAGAACATTGTGCTTTCGGATCTAGATAGTTTTACAACTATTTCAATTGACTTTATTAATCTGTTTAAGGATAAATAATGTTCATCTTACATTCGCCTGTTGTTTCTTTTTAAAATAGTAGTATTTGACTGTATGATTGTAGGTTTCCAAGGTAAATGATAAACGATCAGTAGTAGATACGAGAATGGCTACTAGTGCAGAGGGAGCCAAAATAGCTGCTGGAAGAAGTCCCAGTGGAGTACGTGATGGAAGCCAACATTCATTAGAAGGTATTGAAAATTTCGCTACCCTCTTCTTAAGAAGTCAGCCTTCCCTGTCCTTTCTAGACATCTTGTGTTAATGATTAAGATGGTCTAAACCCTTAATTTGAAAGTTCTGTGTTATGTGATGTGTTTATTTTTTACTTTTAAGGGGATTATACACCATTTTTATAGTTTGCAAAGGCTCATGTAATTTTCCTAAGTGTCTTAATGGCTGATTGGATTGTGTGCTTATTATTTTGTATTATTATTTCAATTTTTTTCTTCAGCTTCATCAAACTCTTACAATGCTTATTCCGTGTGATTAGATAGATGCAAAACTTAGCTTTCCCGTTCTTTTGCTAGTAACTGTGGTGACTCTTAAGTAGACTATAATCTGTTGGATGGGTTATTGTTTTGTGTGAGCATATTTTTGACGGGGAGAATCAATTTCTTGACTATTCACTGAAGGCTGCGAATGGTCTGTGATGCTAGTGAACTTTTTTTTTCTGTTATAAATGTGAAAAAACAATTAAACATTCCTGTGTGAGTGGTGATTTCTGATTCAGGTAAATTAGTAGTTACAGTTATGACCTTTATTTTAGCAATGCTGCCTAGCTAAACAGTTCTTTCCATAACTTTGCTTGTTTTGTCATTCCTAGCTAATAACTAATTCTCAAATGTGCTGTTATGCATCATACATTTTAGCTTCTGTGCTTCAGGGTGCTTGGTCATTCGCATTCTATGTATATTTAATTTTTGTTTGTAAAGGTTTTTTAGTCAGTTGCTTTGGGCATTTTCAGCTTTTGTTTACAAACGGGTGACAGGGAGGTAGTTATGACTGGTTAAGACACTGAGATCGTATACTGTTTATGTAATTACATTGCTCAAGAAACAGCAGTATGAGAAACTGTTGTGCTGTTTCTGTGCATGACAATTAGGAAGACAGTACCTATGCTGAAAAAGCTATATTGTACTATATCATAATTCTGCTGTACAGGCTTGTCTTCTTACGTACATTCTCTTGTAGGTTTGCATTACAAATGGATGAGACACTGCCGAGTAAACACAAATGCCTTCCCTGCCCTCCCCAGTATATTTTTAATCACCAGTGAATTCTTTTTTTTTTTTTTTTTTTTTAGATGTGAGAATCTTTAAAATAGAACTCTTACGTTTATTCCTGAATGCTCCTGCATTATCTGTAAAATAATGAGATTGAACAGCCCCAGTGTCTTTCTAGTTTCTTCTTGTACTTATCTTTTCTTATGTTTCTGGTTTTTCTTGTAGACAACAGAAGCATACCTATCCCCTTAGCCAGTTAAAATCTTTACATTTTGAAATTTGCTAATCATGTAAGATGACAACATTTTTGAAAAACGGTGGCAAAAGCATCTGATATGTCCGATTTATGTCATATTTCTACAGTGTGTGCACTGTCTAGCTGAAATGTACTTGTGCATCCTTTAAGGTTCATTGAAATTTTTTCTTGACACGTGCTAATATGATAACTTTTGAGTTAATAGATAATATTGTTAACAGTCAGTGTTTCATACCATTTCTAAGATAGTGAGATTTCTGCTGTTTGCTCAGGCAGCTGAAAAAAATGGTCGATGTCCAGATGTGACTCTGCGCCTATTTCTGGTACTCTGTAAGAAATTGTCAGGCAATAGTCATATTATAGACTTAATTAAGTTTCTCTGTATGTCCTCTTGGGAGTTGTTATAACCCTACTACTCTTTTTGATCAAAAGAGCTGTGATCTGCCAGATCATCAAAGCAAAAGACATTTTTGAATCATACTGTCTCTGAAATACACCATTCCAACTTGCAAATCAAGTTGTTGCCATGACATATTTGCAAGAATCAAAAGAAATGGGAAGGTTTATATTCTTGTAAAAGTGAGTATTGTGGTTTCCTATTTCTTGCTTTTCTGATTTTACGAGACATTCATCTAAGGAATGCTTTCTTATCTTTTACCCAGATATTCCTTTGCAACGTGAAACGACATTGCTTAACTGCATCTGTCAAGCAGATAGTTCCTTATAGAACCATGATTCTTATTCATCTGTATCATCTTTGCAGGTTAAGTGCTTTCTTACAGATTTCTTGTAAGAGGCCTTCAATTTGATGTACAGAACCTCCCCGCAGGCAGATGCATAGTGCTGAATGAGGATGTTAATATTCTGTTGTTTCTCCTCTATAACACTGATTATTTGCAATACTCTACTGATTTTAATATTCTGAACAAATGAAAGAAGACCTGATTGTTTCACCCAGCAACAGGTACTAGCTGTCACTTAGGAGCTAAACGTTACATGATTTTTCAATTAACAACTGGATAAAGCCCCTGAGCAACTTGATTTGATCTGATAGCTGGCCCTGTTTTGAGCAGAAGGTTGGGCAAGAGACCTCCTGAATTATTCTATGATTCAATTAATATTTTTTCTCTCATTATTTACCCACTTGTAGGGTTTTTACATGTATGTGCAAAACCCATTTCTCAGTCTTGCAGCTAGATGTAACCACTGGATCTGTCATTTGATCCTGAATGTCATCTGCCAATTAACGTTTGTACTGAAGTATTTTTAAACTTCATGTTTTTGTGACAAATACATAATGTAGACCTGGGAACTGACCCTAGTTAATAAAAATGTAGTGACTTGATAACACAGCCATGGTGTTGCTACTTTTGATTTGTAGTTCTCTTGGGGAATCTGTAAAACAGTGCTGTATTGCATGCCATACAAATCCAGTGGGTCAAGTACTTCTGTTTTGGTTTTGTTTTTTTTTTTTTTTAAAAAAAAAGGTGATTTATTTTTAACTGCTTTTTGGATTGCATTAATTTCATCTTTTTGGACTTGAAATTAGTCTACTCTTAACAGAGTGTGAGACTAGCAGCATTCTCTAACAGTATTCCTTTACTTGAAATCTTACTGTTCTTTTTTTCTTTTTGCATGTTTGTCTCTCACTGAGTCCTTTTGTCAGTCAAGAAACCGATGTGAATACTCATTCAATAATCTCTGTCTCTTGGGTAGGGGAATGAAGAAGGAGGAAGAGAAGTATGGGATCTAAGCGTTAAGAAATTAACTCTCATCAAAGAGTGAATGCCATGTATCCAGACACTGAAGAGAACAGTGGTTACCCACAATAACTGATAATTAGATAGGACTAAAGCTCATATAAGGAAATAAAATTTCCTCATGAAGACTTGTAGGAGAAGTCATGGACATCTGACTTTAGGCAGTATATTTTCAGTAGGTTTTGATCTGAGATTCAAATAATCTCTTCAGTTCACATAACCTCCTTTTCTGTTCTACTCACTTTAGAGAAAATGTACCAGCCAATTCTTTATACATTGAAGTGTGATTGTCTTCTACATTTGTAGGGATTTTTTTTTTTCCTTTTTAAAAAATCTTAATCTAAAATTTCTTTCTGTAACTATGCTTTAGATAGTCTTTAGTTTTCATCTTTTTTTGATTTGTGAACATCTAAATATTTTCCAGCAAGGAGAGATACCTTTTAGAATGCTTTGTAAATGAGCCTTCTTTAGAAGATGTATATATACATATGCTTGTTTTTATTTAAATAAGTTTATTATCTTACACTTGTGTTTCTTAGTTACATTTCATAGGTCCCTTAGATGTAATTCTTGGGACTTGTGAACTCTTACTTTGCTTGTTTATTTTCTGACCAACTAACTACGTAAACGTGGTCCTTATTTCATATAATGTTTGACATTAGTAGTGTCTTGAGCCGGAAATCTCTTTTGGACAAAAATGGGAGTTAATTCTTCCATGCTTGCTTTTGTTCCTACTTAATAATGTAATTGCTTTAACCAACTCCACCTTTTTGTTGGAGTGGCCTGTGATGCAAATGCATCTTTGCTTCTAATTTGCAGAAGGCATGGAAACAGCTGCAGCAGTTGGTTAAATTACTGAGAGTTTAACTAGCCTGAAAGAAAGCATATCATGGCATCATACTTCAAAGTCTATTTTAGTTTTTTTCCACTCTACTAAAAAAAAAATCTTCAATGAAGAACAGTGTGTGTTGTTTTCCAGTAAAATCTTGCATAAATTTTTATCTTCTATGCAGTACAGTGATTTCTCTTTAAATTAAAAGATCCTTTCTTTTTAAAAGTAGTAACAGGATTTATCATTTGCTTCATTGCAAATGCCTTTCTCTTACATTGCCACAGCAAGAGCCAACCTGAAATCCTTTCTATCAGTACAGATGTGTTAGATGTAAGTTACAGGTATTCATACTTGCAAGTGGATATGCAAGTGTTTCCAGTGTAAAGGGGGTAAAGCGCCCCCTTCTAGTTGATAAACTACCTTATTATAGTGTAATGTTTTAGCAGCATGACTGATACACCATACAGTATGCCCTGGTACTGAGATGTGCGCTCACTCGCTCTCTAATTTTAATCATGTTATGGGTAAAGCAGTTGAGTTTATTGTGTCATCTTATCTAGTGGTTTTGAAGGCTGTTTCTTATCCTCGTCTTTCCTGCTCTTCCCATTTCTGAGCTGAAGAGGCAACTTAAACCAAAATCTGTTGCTGTATATGTTTGCCTCTGTTCATCAGAACTGACACCACAGTGTCTGTAGATTATTTCCAAGAGAAGCCCTTCATCAGCTATTTCATTACGAACCAGAAAAATCAAGTGTAGTCCTGAGTATACTGACTTTTTTTTTTAGTCCCATTCATATTGATGCTACCCAAATATACTAGGAGTTTATTTTTAATTCAGTACTAAGATAATCTGTACAAAGTCTTGTATATCTGTGCAATATAATCTGTGAAGTAGCTTGCTCTCGTAGTTATTTGCAGAAACAGAAGAGCTAATATATACAGCCTTTTTTTTTTTTTTTAAATAAACCACCCCTAAGGATCTGAACTTGTGCTTCCTGTTTGTGCTTTTTGTTAATTTTAAATTCTGTCCTTGACACCTTCAGAGTGTATGTGTGTGTTTTCATATGTTTATTGATTTGTATTTTACTTTGGTGGTTTTTATTCCTTCTTATTTTAATAGCAGCAATGATATGTTTTGTATTTTTGTTTTCTAAACAAGAAATTACTTTAAAGAAGAATTTGTCTATTAATGACTACTAATAATACTAGTAGGCAAATGAATTCCAGAGGTGAAGGAAAAAAAATGCTTTCTTAGAGGATTATATTGGATTCAAGACTCTGTGTGTGTAAGGGGAGTATGATGACATAGTAGCCAGCAATTTTATAATTAATTTGACTTTTTACTCTAGGTGGCTAACAGTGTTCACTCTACAACAGCATTCTTTTATCACTTTTGAGTAGCTACTTTTATTTTGTATTTCTTTGACAAGTTAGATGAAAATGTGCAATTATGTTGTATATAGATATATATATTTCTTGATTGAAAAAGGGATTTATGCTAAGGAGTGTTTTAGAGTTGTTTTCAATTTTGGAGATGCTAAACAAACTGCTACTTGTTTGATGTATTTGGTAATCAAAAGGTTTTACTGTTCTTAAATAAACTGCTTTTTGTTATATAGATATAATATATTATGTGTTCTGTGCCAAAAGAATAGATGTATATTATAAGACAAAATTAACTGATCCTTTTTCTGACTGTGAAACTTTATTTCCACAGCAAAAATGAAACATATCAATCTGTCATTTGCAGCTTGTGGGTTTCTGGGTATTTACCACTTGGGGGCAGCAGCTGCTTTTTACAGGCATGGTAAGAAGTTACTGAAAGCTGTGAAAGCTTTTGCGGGAGCTTCTGCGGGATCACTGGCTGCCACTGTCTTATTAGCAGTACCAGAAAATATAGAGGTAAATTAATAAATTCGTAGGTATAGGACATGATAATTTTCAAATGATATTTTTTATATAATCATCTACCATTAAGGTTTTTTTTAAATATTTTTATTCTTGTTTTTCTTTTTGCTTGTAAAGGAACAGGACTCATGTATGTGTTTTCATTAACAAAATCTGTGACTCATGGGCAGAAATGTTTATGAAGCAAGTATTTCTTTATGAGAAAAGTGTCATACAAACTTTATATTTTAAGCTATGTAAATATAAATTTCATGTGTGTGAATGTTGAGTTGTATGCAACCAGATACACTCTAATATACTGAAATGTATATGCACTTAATCACTGTACATTACAAAGTTAATCGTTGTTTTCTTGGCTAGAGGTAGGCTTTGTTAAGCAAATGCATAGCACCATCCTTTCGTCCTTTTGTGAAGGGAGATGAAAATGGTAGATGGACTGTTATCTTCATAAAGTTAAAGAACACGACACACTGGCTCAAATTTTGTGCTTGTTCTCTGTGCTCCATTAGACAGCGCAAGAAGTGGCTTGTGCACCTCCTTTAGACTCAGTACAGTTCACAACTTAACAGCAGTAGCCCCAGCGTGTGCTGGGGAGGATTAACCCTCACAGCATTCTGTTCTGACATGCTCCATACCTGTGTGTTTGGTTTTCTTTTTTCCAGAGATGCCACCCTTTTCTCACCATGGACATGGTGTCATGTAGAAACAGCAAAGTGATATTCAGTGACTACTCTCACAGGTTCTGTGGGAGGGCATTAGCTTGTTCTTGTTTGTTTGTTTTTCCCTTTAGGTTAAAGCTGCTTTGCCCTCCTGAAGTGCTTGTAGTGACTTTGCCTTAATATATGTAGAGGACCAGGCCTTGCTGAAATGTTAATATTTCTCTAATATTTTGAATTATAATTAACAGCATTACTGTAGGGGGGGAAAAAAAGTCTGTTAGATTTTTTTTGGTTCTAAGTACACTTAGGTTTCAGTCCAGTGAGCATCAGGTAGCTTTCTTGGGGCCTTGCTTGTTACAGCTTTCACTGAATATGATTCAAACAATAGTCCCAGCCAATACCACACTTTGCCACTGATCTTTCTGTTTGCGTGTTGTTTGTTTCTTCTGTGATATGGACTTAGCTTGCAGTTAGCTATACTTCTGTTGCTCTCAGCAGTAAGTTCTTCCCTGGCTTCTTTCCACCCCACCACCCCCCGGGTGCATTCTTTATAAGATTTGGTATTAGGAAAGTTCTGCTCTGTTGTGAAGAGAACCTTACTTGTATTCGGTCCAGGTGTTACTCCTTTTCTGTAGCCTCTGATTAGTAGTTCAGTTTCAGGTTTGCCTGGTATAATGCATACCACTGACTTTAATTTCCCATATGGTGAGCACAGCAGCTAGCCTTTTCTTAGCCCAAGGAAATTTTTCTGCTTATTCTAGGCTCTGGGTACGAGCATTTGTTCCCAGCCTGGTCCAACTTACAAAAGTCTTTCTAAGTAAAAAATATCAGAAGAGTTTTTCCTTTTTATGTTTGTGGAAACTAAGCCTATATTACATTGAGTCTGATGGATTTTTTCCTTGAAAATATGTCATTTTAATGCAAACTAAAGAAAGTTTCATGAACTTTTTAGTCCTTTTTTTATTATTTGCTTTTTAGTCATTCTGTTATATTGTTTAAATGGAAAATTGAGAGCTGTTTTTTGAGGGGGAATAATTCTTCCTAATTCTCATGAAATTTAAGTAAAGGCAGTGTTGTGTACTGAATAGAATTAACTTTTCATATCAGGATAATTTTATTATTACTTTTATTATATTTCTAATTTGAAATATTTTATATCCACAAATACAACTCTTACATCAGTTAATTTTTTTCTTCTTTTTTCCCCCCCCTCGCTCCAAAGATGGCTATGTTAGACAAGCTATAATTAGGACTTTCTCCATCTCCTAGTCTCAAAACTCTACTATAACCTTTCCTTATCTTGGAGTGAATGTAACCTTGAGGATTTCTTGTTTTGACAGTTGCTGTTCTAATGTGACAATTTGCAAATGTTTTTCAGTCATATCTTGGATTTTTGTCACTGTTGAAAAGGCATGGGACTTGAGAATTCTAGGGAGGCTTATAGAGTTATAGATAACTACGTATTTATTTCAAAAGTACCTTGATCATGTTTGATGTCAAGTTTGCTTAACTCAATACAAGTAGTTACAATTTCTGAACATGTCCTTAGTCACTATTTAAAATTTAGATGTATTGTTTAAAGCTTCTAGCACTAAAATTATAAACAATTTGTAGGGGTAAGAAATTGTCCCTTTTGGCAGCAAGAATTCTATGGTTTATTCTTAGTACTTGTAATATGGAAAGTAGTTTTCTGTCATTCACCTAGGTTTGGATTCACCCATCTCCCTATTACTCTTAGCTCCCTGTCACTTTATTAAAGCATCTTAGATATAAAGATAGTAGTTCTGAGGTGCTTCTATGTAGGGTTTGTGGGTTTCTTCTCTATTTAGAGAGAGAGGTGTCTGAATGTGCATCTTTCCAGCTGATTGACTACAGAAGAAGCCTAAGTGGCTAATGTAGAATAAATTCAAGACTTGGTGCATATAACTAGTTTAATATATTTGAATTGGCTTGGAACTGGCAATGGCAAGTACCTCCTAGGGTAAAGGTGCAAATCTAACCTATGTGAAATGAATTGGCACAAATCTTTACAGCGATTGTTGCTTTAAGAGGTAAGGACCTCTTAACGAACTTTTTTGATACATTTATTTGAAGACCGTATAGAGAAAGTGCAAGAACTACATTTCTTTCTTTCACTTAGGTGAGTGCTGTGTTGTACAGTTATGTGAGGAAGTTAAACTGCTCCAACCAGCTTGTTCCTGATCTCATACTAATCCTCACCCCAACTCTTTCCTGTTTTTCCTTCCATTAAACCCTGTACCGTCCCCCTCAATAGGGCACATTCACTTCTCTCTCTTTTTTTTTTTCTTTCCCCAGTCACATCAATCATTTATTTTATTACTAGCAACATATTTGTTCTGCATGCAGGAAGCTAATAAGCCAGGAACCCCAAACTATCTATAGACAGATCTTTTATTCTGTAAACATGTGGCTATATAGGTGAACATGGGTATAATACATCTATTGAGTACCAATTTCAGGAGGTTGCCTAAGAATGGATTTAGTTTTTTCCCAAGTCCCTAAAATCATTAGAGAAGTCTGCATGAAAGGATAAAAAAAGGAATATGAATACTGAATACTGACTCTTAAGCATTCAAAATCATAATTCATTGTTTCAGAACCTTTTTGCTAAAAAAATAAATGCTACCTATTCCTTTACTCTCCTTTTGGAGTTCTTATGGCTCACACTACAAACTATTTTTCTGCAGTCATTAATGCCTAGCATTTCAGTTTGCGTAAAAGAGGTTCTCTGTGCAGTGGAATCTGTTGCATGGTTTTCTGCAGTTGTCTTTTCTTCCTTTGTCTTCCATTCTAGTATTCCATTCATTAAATACTTCCATAGTATTGTATTCATTAAATATGAGTATTTGTTAGTAGCGTGGTTTTTGCATTAGTGAGAAGAAATTGTAATAATTTTTTTAGTGCTTATAAGCATCTTAAGGTACTTGTGTCTGGTTTTAGTACTGATGTGGTCTTTAAAATAAAAGGTGGCTTTACACTTGAAATGTAAATGATTGTTCTGGTAATAACATGGTTCAGAGAAGTGATTATTTAGCAGTGGTAATACATAGAAAAATAGCCTTTAATTTTCCTTGATTTTTAAAGTGGTATTCTTGTGAGGTTGTTGTTTGCTTTTTTTAATTAGGGATCTTGTTTTCTTACAAATTAGTTCTTATAAAAGGATCAACATTTTGTTATGCATATCTTGTTACAAAATAAGCACATATGGGAAAGTATTTTAGTCGGATCTTATAACTCTCTCTTGATTAAAGCTTTAGCCACTAGTGTGTTTTAGATACAGCAGTTGAACATTCTTCTCATAACTAAAACATCCTTAATGGTGAATATTTTCATTTGCAGAAATGTAAGCAGTTTGCCTATGGATTTGCAGAGGAAGTTAGAAAATTGGACTTCGGTGCTGTAACGCCTGGTTATGATTTTATGAAAACACTTAGGTACCTATCTTAATGCATCTATAAGAGCATTTTTGTGTGAAGATCTCTAAATGAAAACTGAGAGTGTGCATATTTTTTCTGTGGGGAGCTCAGCACTCTTTCACCCATAATGTATTTGCAAGGTTTTTAAATAATGATGGTGAATAATGTTTAGTGTTTTCTTTACTCTAGGGAAGGCATAGAGTCTATTCTTCCTTCTAATGCTCACGAGATAGCTGAGAACCGGCTCTATGTGTCAGTCACTAACACCAAAAATGGGGAAAATCACTTGGTTTCAAGTTTTGCATCCAGGGAGGACCTCATTAAGGTAATGAAGTTGAGTACTGCTGCTTTAAATAAAAATGTTTGAGTTTCTTCAAGGTTTAGGAGTATGTTATTAGGTACACAATAAATCACTCTTTTACTCAAGTAATCACTTATACTACCAGTGGCGCTACAACCATAACATAAACAATGGAAGCCGTTCTGCAAATTTTGCTAAAATTTATTTTTGTGTGTGTTTCCTTCATCTGTTTTTAAAGCACTACCTTGTAGGCAAAGTCTGTTTTAAAAAGTAACAGGGTAGCTAATAGTTACAGTAGATGAGAATAAAACAGAGGATCTCCAAATTTTGTAACAATTTGCTGAGTCTTTTTGCATCTCTTACTTCACTGATACCATTTATATTATGTTTCATCACAAAAGAAAGTAAAGAAAAGAAAGTTCCTGTCTTAAAAAAAAAAATCCAACACTTTCTACAAGCCCTTGTGGAGAACAGATATAATGTAATGTTAAGTACCATATATAAACTGTATTTTAACTGTCACTGGAAAGCGTATCTTTTACTGCCCCTCTCTTTTCTTTTGAAGGCCTCTTTTTAAATTTGGATCAGGATTGTATACATGAGCTGATGTGAAACGGTAGGATGAATTCAGATCAGATGCATGTAAAGCAAATGTTCTTTCTAGTAATTGATTATATCTTGGTGGAGGAAATCATAAGATATAACAGAATAAAGGAGGAAATAGAATAAGAAGAAATTCCTTC